AAAAAAAATTACAGTTGTTATGGAATAAGGAGGCAGAAACTAAGCATTGCATCGATGTCCGTGTGATGGACTTTCCTGACCGGATATATTCCCTTCCCATAGCTTTTTCGTTCTCATCTTTCCTTCCTGCCCTTCAGTCCCTTCTGTTTACTTGTACTCAAAGCAGTACGAGCTCATTCGGGAATGAATTCCCCTTCAAGAGTATTTCGAATATTTCCGAGCAGTTTTATGAATTGATCAATAAATCAATAAGTTGCTATTCCCGAATATTTTTGTTAGTTCGTTACGTTTAGGGCCGATTCAGAGATTAATTTTACTATTTGTTGAATTCTTGACCTATTTGGGTGTCCCTTTCTTCCCTTGGGAGGATGATAGAGTCATATCGTACCCATAGGGCCGTACACCTGACTGTTTGTTTATTTTATTTTTATGGGATATTGTCATGGTTCCAAAACAAACAATTCAAACAAGCCAGAAAAGCTACAGTTACATTTCGGGTTGCTTCGGTTTCTTTTCCTTTGCCTCTGCGTCTCTAACCCCTTTCCTTTATCGTGTACCTTTTACTCTGTTTCTGTAACTCTCCGAATTATTCATTGTTTATTTTTGTACACAAACGTGAGACTACGGACTTTCGGCTTATCACCAGTATTGATCGTTTTATGGGAGCCATTTTTGGAAAACATCGTCCCATACGGTCATATGCTTTTGCCTACATACATACTATGGGTGTGTGCCTATGTGAAGCTGATGGTATGGGTGAGTGTTATGCAAATTTCGCTGACGTCATCTGGGCTGGAAACGACAACGACGACGATCACCGTAATGCGACCCAGTACGACATAGCTGAATACGATTCCCTGGCGGAGTTACAGGAACAATCCCCAATGAACTTCCAATAGTCAGGTGATTTTCCCATCAGGAACATCTGGAACCTATTGGGAAGCGCGGCCTGAGAAAACTCTAGAAGACTAAACTGCGGCTGATCAACGAATTAGGTTCTATTCAGTCCGTCTTGAATGCGCCATGCACGCAGAAGTTTTTCAATATGTAAATAGCCCACATGATGGCGGGGCAAACTCCCAGACATTGATTAAACTCGAGAAATCGGTAGTGTGACAGTCACGGAAACGGTCATCAGTCGCGGCCCGGGCATCGTGACCGTATCCACTGCTGCTGTTGCTGATTTCGCAAGTGTCCATGGGGAGGTGTAGGGTAGCGGCGAGGCGACGGGCAAGGTGGTCAAGGTGGTACCGGGTGGTCTCGGCCGGCGCGCGTCACCGCGTAGTGGCGTTGGCGGCGAGTGCTGTGACCTCAACTCGGTGACCTTAGGTGGCCTCACCAGCACAGTCATCGGCCGATACCCACATACCGGCACGCTCCCGCCGCTATCTCCTTATCCTCCAGATTGAGGATTGTCTGCTTCCTGGCTGACGGCTGATCGTATTTTTTTGCCATCTTATCAGTGATTCGTTGAATGGTGTTCCGTTCTGGCACCCGTCCTTAGTTCCTGGTAGTGTCTGGGGATAGTCGGCTGAATAACCCCCGAGGAGCTTCTCCCACGGTCTGTCTGTCCCACCTATGCTTCACCTTTTCCACTCCAACAGTTACCAACTACGGCCAATGCACGTGACGGCCGGTGTCCACCCTTACCTGGTAACTCTTGCACTTTTGAAACATCGCCGCACTATTACTAGGGGAAGGGGCCCGTCGTCGCGGGGGATGACGGTTGAGCGAGGAGGTGCGGAGCGTCCCGGTTGCAAGGGCGTACCACTCGGTGCGGCCAGAGGTCATAGCCGATTGGGGTGGGCCGGGTGGGTGACACTGGCTCATGGATAGACGAGATGTCTACTGCCTTCTGCCGTCCTCACTGTTATTCGCACCCCTCCCAATCATTGCCAATTCTTAACGGCTGGCTAATTTTTGACCACACATGGCTCTTGAGGCTACGGTAAACACCGTAACACTCTTTCCCATGGATATGCTTTTTCAAAATCAGGATTTGAGGGATTTTCGTTTTCCTGCTCAGTGTTCCCTTCGTCTTTGTCCAGACTTATGTATTTCGCATAATTTTATCGATTGCTATTGATTTTTCACTTATTTCTACACCTTGGCTGCCTATTGATTGAATTGGAGTTTTGCCTTCAGCTTTTTCAGATGAGGGTATAACTTTCGCCAGAAAAATCGAAAATCATTCCTTTTCTGTTCCTTGCGTTCCCTTTGGTCCTCTTTTTCCCAAGTATTTCCTTATTGATCGAGAAAACTCATAGTAATCGTCTATAATTCATCCTGTCAGCTGCCGAGCCCCTTTGTTCCTTTTCGACCTTCCGATAAACCGGAAATCGGAATTTTTGAGATCATTTTGTTGTGATATTCTGGATATGTTCGTTCCCCTGAAGCTTCTTCGAAAGGATGTGCTTCGTATGGGCTTTTTCCCTAATCTCCCGATTCGATCAATCAAATAGTCGATGATTTAATTAGCAATCGATACAGCGCATTCCATCAGATCGTATTCGGCTGCCTCCGTCGCCGCTGACGATAACTTGTCAGGGAAGATTTTAAGCTGTTCTGACAATTATGACCATGAAATACCTCTCGGAAACCTTCCCAGATACTCAGTTACCCAGATGGCTTACGAGCCAGATCAGCGGGAATCATATTTTCATAGACGCGATGTCTCTCGAATGGCTACTGTAAGTCTACACCATTTCCGAACATTTTCCTCATGGGACCCGAACATTTACATCATGTGATTTGGATTGCATCATGGTAGCGGCCCCAGTTCCTTCCTCGTCATCCCCCACCCCGACTTTCAGGCCGAGTTCCACGATCGGTGATGGTGGTATGCGCTCCTCGTGACTGGTTCCACCTCGTCGCGCACACACTACGTGTTCGCCGAATCTGCGACGCGACGTCGCGCGACACAGGGACGCGACGTCCAAATCCGGATCCGTGGCTCGGACTAGTTCACCCCCCCCCCACCACCTCTCTCCCAGTTCACTTTCACACCCTCATCGGCATCTCGGTCACCAGCAGAGTTTCTAGCGTCGTGTCGTGTCACTTCCAGCTTCCCAGAAGCAGAAGAAGCTCCCGCCGGTTCAATCAATTCCTATATGGTTCATGGGTTTGTGGGGAGGGAGAGGGGTGGTATCCTTCCCAGAACGAAATTTTTCTCATTATTGAGAATGGAATTGCTCATTCAGGAATTGTTTGCTGAGAGAATAGTGATCTACGGTTTTGTAGGAAGATTTGCCCATCCCCCACGGGATTAGTTTAAGCCATGACTTTTCCCCTGTCCGCCTAAGACTAATCTGGTGATGCTTATCGCCGCTGAAGCTTCTAACACTGGCTAGATCATCTCCCATAGAGCATTCCTAACATTTTTCTCCCTACATTCTGTCAGATCGTCTTTCGCCCACCAGCTGGCATCGTTTGCTGTTGATTTATCGCCTACTTCTTATGGCAATTCCTCTGCTGGCTTCCTGGGGCATTGTTCCGAAGTATTTTCTAGAAGTGAAGGCAAAAAGTGGTGGAGTTTACTGGTAATGGGGAAGTTATTCAAGGAAATGGGGGTTTGAAGACTTTTGGCCAGGCTAAAACTCATAGTTCTGGAAAACTAGCTGTCTAGGTGAACCATGAGGACCAATTTGGTCTAGTTACTCTCTAGGATTACCAGTTATGGCCATTTATTCGTTTTTATCTTCAAATACCGAAAAGCCCGGGTATTCCTGAATTCAATGGCTATGTTGCCTCTTCAGAAAGGTTTTTCGTAAAGCATCTCTTCATAGGTGAAACCGGACCGACCGCCCCAAGTGAAAGCATTGCTCAAAGCTTTACCTCTTCATAGGAAAAACTCTTATCGAACACACTTCAAGTGGAGTTGGGACGAGTTTTTCGATCGTCGTTGGTGTTTCGCTTTTCCATTGAGAATCCGTCCTCGTGATGTAGTGCAGCATGGTGGAGGGCGTGGAGTAGGTGAACCAACCCGCATGATAAGCTTACAAAAGACTAAAAATTCGACAGTTAAAATTATGTTTTATTCGGTCGATGGTTTTCCTTCAATTTTCTCCCTGATCACTAAAATTTATTGAAAATGGCCTTTATGGTTACTATAATGTCCTTGAGTTAATCAAACCCGTTTTTCAAGATGCGCCACACATTCGACTCTCATTAAAAATACGTTTTGCATGCGTACATATGTGGTCTATGCAGTGATTTGCAAAGGCCAGCCAATTTACAAGACAGTGCTTTTATCATCTCAGACCCATCTGGTAGGATTTAGTCGACCCTGGAAGAGTTGGCCTGAGAGGATATCTTAGCGAAAATCGAACCCGCGAGCATGCGTGTGTAATAGTGTATCACTTGCCACTACACGATCTCTTCTCCTATTAATATTGATATTATTGCTTATTATTTACAAAATTGTCCTCTCACTCCTACGGGATATACTTTCGAGAAACCGACCAATGAAAAGATCGCGACTTCCCTGTCGGCGTGGGCGGCACCTCCACTACGATTGGACCAGCATATTTCCAGCGTTGACCTTTACTTAATGATGATGATTATAATTGGCGTAATATATTGAAATAGTAAATAAATAATAAATAAATGAATGAATGTAATGCAAAATTTTTGATATTATCTTGTGCTGTTCTGCCCTTCATGTTGAAATGTTTTTTTATTTTTTTTTTGAAGTTAATCCCTTCCTTTGTCACCCGCTTTGTGGGCAGTGCCTAAGCACTCCAAGGCAGTGCATGATTCGTTCCTTCTCAACCTCTCATTTTCATGTTCTTTTCTCTCTTTCCTTCTTTTCATCACTCCTCATATTTTCATTTTCTTTTCTTCTTTTCTTTCTTTTTTCTTCTTTTTGCCCTTCAGTTTCTACGCCCTTATTTTTCAACTGTTCATATTTTTTCCTCCATCTTCGTTTCCCTATCATTCCTTTTGAGTGCTCGGACCCCTTGATTCATATGAAAAGATTTTTGAGGTCCTAACATAATGGAAGGTACAGGGAGATTAACTATCACTACACGGAATGCGCCATGCGTTCATACACCATATGAACTCGGAATGTCTGGAGGGATAGTAAACGTCTCCATTTCTTTCTCCTTTCTTCTTCTCCTGATCCCAAAAGCTTTTTATTTGTCGTAGTCTCTGTGATTGATGTGATTGATCTGATGGGGATTTGATGGATCCCCTTTGGGATTTTTTCACACTTTATGCGTGTTCCACAGTCAGCCAAAAGCCAACCACTTAACTTTTATGGTTGATCTGAATTTGAACGTTCATCGTGTAACGGGGCGCTCGGACGGACGCGTTTGTTTGTCGAAACGGCACGAGTTCGAATTCGTTGTCGTTCAGGGGAGGTTTTTATTCCCATTGATGTCTTGAATAGCATGGGTGGGTGTGCGATGTTGATCCAAGCGACCGTTGCTGCTTTTGGCTACGTACGGCCGCCGGTCGCCGGCAATGTATGGCGACAAGGGCCTGACTGGTCCTCGTCAGCCCTTGGCCAGGCCCTCATCCTCGCATCCGTGTAACCCCCGATGTCCTCAGATTTGTCGCTTAGCCCTTCCCCCGTCGCCACTGCCGCCACTCTTCAACAGCACAGCCCCGTAGTAGCAACGGCTGGCTTGATTGTGTAAGAATTCGCGTCGTTCAACCTCCATCATCATCATCGCCATCGCTCTTCCCCACTCGGGTTTCGCGCTATAGAACGTTATTGCTGACGGGCCAGCAGGCCGGCTGTGCCACTATATAGTGAGTGAGTGACGGAGTGACTAGTGGACTCCTCGATTCCGACACTCAGGACGGAGGCCAAACGCGCGAAGAGCAATCCCCACTGGACGTAATCGACTTATGAGTATGTAGCCGCATACTACTCAAGATCATGCCCTTTTAAATGCTTTTAATAGCAAGCCTTTAGGCCTTACTAGGCCTGGACCCTATTTGGAGGACCTAGGGGCCTAAAGCCAGGCCTAAGTTTTTCCTTTCTTTGTTTGTTCGATTTTTTGTTGATTTTTTGCGCCTAAAACGACATTTCCCCCTTTTGTCATTGAAGAATCTCTTCAGAGGGTCACATCTCTCGATTCCTGCATTCCTATTTGAACCGTCTGCACCCACTTATCATCCTTATCATCATTCCCATCTCTTGTCACCTTGAAATCTTTGAATTCCTTCTTTTTCGAGTTTGAATTCCTTTTTTCAAGTGTTTCCGCCCATTTTGAAGGTAGGGTATGCTTCCAGTATCAATAGGAAGCACGGATATGAGTCGATCGATAGCAATCGATATATCGATCCCTCGAGGACATTGTCAGCGGTTATTTATTTCGATCAGTGATGCCTAACAATAGCAGATCTTCCAATATTAGAAGATGTGAATCGATCGATAGCAATCGATATATCGATCCCTTCATAGACATTGCCAGCCGTTAATCATTTCTATTTGTCCTCATATGTTCAATTAACGATATGCGCTTTACGTACTTTTTGGGACAAAGTTCCCCTCGTGATGTGGGAAGAGGGGCGGAGTCACGTAGGGCAGTCAGCAGGAGCAGCAGCAGCAGCAGGCGCCAGTGCGCGTACGCGGGTGATCTCTACGGTTCGGACAAAGTACGATGGAGCGGCGTAATGACGGTAACCGCAACAGTAGTAGTGTTAGAAAGAAGGGCGGAGCGTCTCGTACTAGTAGTAGTAGCGTCGTGATCGATAGCGCTATGTGGCAGGCTCGATGGCTGGCTCGCAATAGCATA